TCCCTGCACATTAGGTATGCTAATATCTGTGCACTGGAGGATTGTGGCTGGGACATCTGGCACCTGATGGGGTTCCCGCGGTGCACCCCAAAACACTGAGGAGCTCTCTTAGCTTCTGGTGTAACTGGGGCTGTGCAGCCCTGTTCTGAGCAGGAGGTGCAGCTGGGGGGTCACTGTGCCTGGGGGGGCAGGAGGTGCAGGGGCCATTCCAACTCATACTTACCTGGCAGGGGAGATACCATGATCATGAAAGTGGTTTTCCCAGGGTGAGGCTTATCCATTGCACTTTGTGTGTGCTGATCCCTGTGATTTCCCCAAATGTGGGAAAATCAACTGCACAATTTGTAGTAGTGGAGGACTGTGTTTGTGCTTTCCCCTGGTTTTTCTAGAATCACTCTTTCCACTTTGGTCCTTGGCTGTTTTCACTGCCCTCTGCCATTCATATTTGCTGCCATAGGCCTGTTGGCCCTGCTGGCTTTCCAGGTGGGCTCCAGGAGGCAGATCCTGGAAAGTCAGCAGTGCAGATGGCAGAGTGGTGAGGTCTAATGTGGCTGCCACGGCGAACAGCCTCTGGTGCCAGTTCAGAGGCCTCCCAGCACAGCGGTGGGAGGCACCTGGGGGTGGTGGGAGGCTTCTGGGTGGTGGTGGCTGAACCCTTTTTTACAGTATTCACTCCATAAGATGCACATACTCCCCCCCTTTTTTTGGGGAAAAACTGCATCTTATGGAGTGAAAAATATGGTATATATCTTCCTGTTTCTTAGGGAACTGACTTCTAAGTACATCAAATTGTCCATTTTTTCAATCTTGTCTATTCTGTACTCCACAGCCTTGTGTAAATATAGATACTGCCTTATAACTGTGGCAGAATGGAAATCGCTAGCAAATGCTATAGTATTTGGATACTGTTCCAAAGTATAAATGTCTGTAAATTCTAATCGGATATAAAGCACTGTTACTTTAAGCTGCCTTCACATTTATTGTTGAAAAATTCTGTTGAATATATGAAGTATGCTTTTCATTCAAACGTCAAATTTTCTCAAATCCATGGAAGTTCATTAGTAAAAATGGTGTTGCTTATTGCTTATAGTGGGCACTAATACATTTTGCAATCAAAGGCATCTAAAGGCGGTGTGGGCGAAGCAAGCTGTTAGGTGTACTTTTGTAGTTTTTTCACATCTGCTTTCTCTAGAAAGTGGTTTTGTGCTTGTATGTTTGTTTTTAAAGCTCCTGGTTGCTTAGAAAAGGCCATCCTAATAAATATGACCTTTTCTACCTTTCATTTTATGTTTTAATGCCAGGCCAGGACAACTTTGGGTCATGTGTATTTTCATGGAAAGAATATCAACAATGTTTGTACACACAAATTACTGCTGACAGTGATCAGTTGTTTGGTTTCCTTTCCATGTTACAATCCGAAGTAGCAGAAATTGAATCCAGAATACAGTGGGGTCTTGACTTAAGAACGGCTTGAGTTAAGAACATTTTGACTTAAGAACAGCTCTCATAGGAAAATATTGACTTGACTTACATACTTAGATTTGAGTTAAGAACTGAAAAAAA